CATCCCTCCCTCCATCCATCCCTCCATCCCTCCATCCTTCCATCCCTCCCTCCATCCTTCCCTCTGTCCCTCCATCCATCCCTCTATCTCTCCATCCCTCCATCTACTCATCCCTCCATCCCTCCCTCCCTCTTTCCGTCCCTCCCTCCCTCCATCCATCCATCCTTCAATCCCCCCTCCATCCCTCCCTCTGTGCCTCCATCCATCCCTCTATCCCTCCATCCCTCCATCTACCCATCCCTCCATCCCTTCCTCCCTCCCTCCCTCCATCCATCCTCTATCTGTCTATATCTATCTTACTTACGGAATTGGAGCTAACCAAATTTGTACATAGAATTTATAGTAGAGAAGTTTTGATGATCATAGCAATGAGCAGTTTTTGATAACAAAGCTGCACAAAATCTGAACTAAAAACTAGTACTAAACACATCCTTGATCATAAAAATCTTGTGAGACAGGTAAAAGGAACAGAATACCGATGAGATGAATAAGTTAACCATTTAAACTGATGATCTCAATTGCTACAGTATACTTCTGGCCATAATGATATATCAGTAGTAAGAAGACAATATTGCTCCCCCCCAACAATTGGCGTGCATTTTTAAAACACTTACCTATTAAGAATATGAAAACAGAAGAAACGTTCCACGTCATAATCTGAATTGGAGATGGGACCTACATGTGCTGTAAGTCTCAATTCTGGGGATGTCTCTTACAGTACACAGTTCTATTGGTTTCTTGTTTCTGTCTTACACTGCTCATCCCCTAGACAGCCTTGTCTCTTACCTCTTGGGGTTGTTGGTACCGAGAGGCCATCAGAAGGAAAGCCCGCTGTGCCTGGAAGGCGCTGTGCACCATTTCTGCCTGGGAACAAAGAAGGAGATTGCAGTTTAAATGTTTGAGCTCCTAAACAAAAAGCTACCGAAGCAACCTGAATGTTCATCAGTGGATGAATGGATAAACAAAATCTAGTATAGCCATGCAGTGGAATATTGCTCAATCATAAAGAGAAACGACGTTTTGATACATTCTGTGGCATGGATGAACACTGAAAACATCATGCTAAATGAAAGAAGCCAGTCACAAAAGACCACATGTTATATGCTTCCGTTTATACAGAATGTCCAGAAGAGTCAAATAGATAGAGACAGAAAGTAGATGAGTACTTGCCAGGGATTAGGAGGCAGAGGGGAGGAGAGGGAAGTGGGGAGTGATTGCTAATGGGTATGACATTTCTTTCTGGAGAGAAACTATTCTGGAATCAGATAGTGGGGCTGGTTGCCCAACTTTGCGAATATACTAAAAACCACTGAATTGCACACTTTCGAAGAGTGAACGTTATGGGGTGTGAATTGAGACGCTGTTAAAAAACTCTGAGTGTCAAAGTGCAACTGTTTTCAAAGGGTGTCTCTCCGATCCTCTTACACTGGGAGCCCAAATCTGCTCTGTGCTTTCTGAGCGAGAAAAGGATTGTCCCTTAAGTCATTCTGGTGAAGATGCTCACCTACAGCCAGCAGCGTCTACAACTGCTCATTGAGACGGATCTGGAAGAGATTCAGTGCTGTTGGGTGGCCCTGGTGGAGGAGACCCTACTGGGACATGTCCCCCTAAAAAGAAACTGTGCAGGTGGGAATGCCCTCAAACACACGGAATCATACTCCCCGTCCTCACCTTCTACCAACTCTTAACTAATTCTTTAATTTTTTAAATTAAAAAATCACAGAAAAGTACCAAGAACAACATAGTGATTCCCAATATTTTTATCCTCATTCAAATATTTGTATTCAAAGATTAACAGAATTCTCTAGTTGTTTTTAAATCACAGTTGTTTTTATAAAATAAAACATTGATTTTTAAATGATTTTTAAAAAATGCAGAGTTACAACAATTACAGTTAAGATAGGCCTCACAACCTAGAGACACTCATTATCGACATTAGCTGAATATCACTAGAGCCACCTGCGAAGACAGATACGCTGAGAGACTTTTATAAAATGAGATTGTACCCTAGCTGTTATTTCTTAAAATAAAAAGTATACATTTTAATTATGATCAAACAGTACAGAGGAAAGAAAAAGAGCTGTTAAATTTCAGAGAAAAGTTTCCGTACTATGAGTTAGCATGTCCTAAGTGATCATTCTAAGGTAAAAATAAAAAAAAAAAAAAATCATAAAATATTAAGAGGTTGGAATAGTTATGTTTGCATTTTGAATGTCATGTTACTATTTTAGATGACACCGTTTTATGCCTGCTGGGAAAGATGAGGACATACAGACCCTCCCACTTCCTTCCATCCCTGACCCCCTGTCTCCCGTAGTCTTTAGTGAAATCATTGTTTGTACTTTGCCCAGGTGACAGCACTCATATTCTATCTGGAACATTAATTCCCACTGTGGTTTAGTATTAGTTCTGCATTAAGCACGTTGACGGGTTCCCACACCTCATTTTACCATGGGTGAGTTATTTTGATTTTTTTTTTACTGACTGGACCCTCAAAATCAAGAATTTTCTTTAAAATGAGCTCCTCGTTGCTTTACTTCTCTCAAGTTTAAGCATGTCTCCTTGCTGTCTTTATATTTTAACAATATCTTGACTGACTATCATAGCCTTGGGTCATTTCTTTCTCTATATTCAGGCGGCATGGAGCTAAATGTTTCAACGCGGAGGTCTGAAGCCAGCTTGATTTTTTTCTTCCCCCTCCCTTGTAGGAGACAAGCATTTTCTGGCTTCGCATCTGAAGAAATACTTCTTTATCTCTGAGGTGTGACAGCTTAACTAAGATATGTCTGGGTTTTGAACATTTTATATTTCCTGAAACAGATTTGGTCCTTTTTTTCATTTCTGGGAAATTTTCTTTTCTATTTTTCAGTGTATCTTCTGTTCCATTTGTTAGATTTCCGGCTCAGAGACTCCAGTTATTACCCTCATGTTGTAGACTCTCTGCACATCTTTGTATCTTTCAGATGCTCGGATTGTCTTTAAATCCCTTGTCTACCCTCTATGTTCACTGCGATTACCTGAGTGATCTACTGTTAGTAAACCAATTTTCAAGTGTCTCTTCTACATTTTAGCCTTTCTAATTTACATGCCAGTTCTGCAGTGATGTTGTTTCATTCCTAGGTTTGTTTTGTTAGGCTTGCAATTTCCCTGTTCACTTGACTCTTACCGTTTTATCACCTTGTCCTAAAGTGATTTCAAAGATACGTTAATACCCGTACTAAGTTAGGCGAGGTTAAGTTATACTCTTGTGAAGCCATGATGAAGAATCCATTTCTGTCCCTTAAGTCTCATTTTCCACAGGGGTGAGCCCACGTCTGTCCTCTGCATGCTGTGTTCCTTTCTGACACACTCTTTACAGTTGCCATACTGGTTCCTGTCATCTTGCCCCTGCTTGAGCGGCTCTGTGCAAATATTCTAATTACCCTGATAAAGTGTGGGTCAGTCTCTTGCCACCATATTGGAGACCAGTTAATTTTCCCTTTCAAGCAACAGTTTGAGGGCTAAATGGTTTGTGTTCTGTCAGCTCTTCCAGGGCCTGGTGGAATAGGGGACAGGGAAAGGGAGAGCTCAGCTAAGGTGATGTCCAGTCCTTATCTGAGTACCTGAGTGCTGCTCATTCTTCTGGGAATTCGTTAAACAGCCCTTCCCAGGATTCACTCCACCTACTTCTGACACCCGCCCTTCTGACGGGATGGTGCCCACAGACTTTATTTAGACCACTTCTCTACTTCGGAACTTAGTCCTGCAGCCTCCGCATCCACAGAGGGAGGCAGCCCCATGGCTTCCTTTTCCTGTTTTATAGTTTCCTTTCCTGATTTCCTTTCCTGATTTCCTTTC